AAAAAACTGGGGGGGGGGGGGTCACACAGTTGATAATAATCGTGCACCTGCCTGTCACCTCACAAGGTAGAATATACTTGTAGGCAGTTAGTGTCTAATTTGTAGACAATGCAAATGGATCAGCTTCCCTGTGACTAGTGCAATCCTTATCACTGTCAAATCAACTGGCTGGGAGGGCTTCAAAGCTTGTGGTCAAGCCCCGGTAATATCCAATAGGTGGTGACACACATGCTACAAACGTTCTTCAAATGCTGCCACAGGAGTATGAGCCATGTTTTTAATAAATGAAAGCTGACAACAGATGTCAGTTAGAAATAATGTGCCATTGGCTTTAATCAGATGAAAGGGTTTGATGGCTGTAGTTTCATGCCTGGCATACTGTAAATCAAAAGGTTCTGCTGAAAAAACCCACTGCATGTCTGATGGGTCAAAATGCTTCCCACTGAACTGCTTACAGCTCAGCATTTAATCAGACTGTAAAATTACCTTGAGCAGCAATTGCTTTGGTGGTAAAACAGGTAAACTATCATCACCCTTAATGAGCAAAAAAGAACAATTTTATGTTCCGTTAAAGATCATTGGAACTCTTTTTGTAATGAATCGTCCCATTACTGACATGTTGTATTGTTGTTTACAGAAGCTCAACGCCAATATGAATGAAACCGAACTGTACAAGCCTCGAGTATATGCAGAGGAAGGAGAACTTACTAGGGCGTCCTCATTGGACTCCATTAGCATCTCGGGAAGTAGCGTCCACATGTTGAGCCTGCAAAGTTTTGGATCCAAGTTTAACATTCTGGAGAGCATCTGTGAAGACCATATGAACCTCCCGAAGACTGACCCAACTAGTTTTCAGAGCCAGCAAGTATAACTTGTGTGCCAGAAGATATTAAAGGCAGCAGGTATAAGAACCCTTTTTAATTAAGGGGTTAACCCAGTAAAAAAAGAAAAGAAAAAAAAACAACATTCAGGCTGTTACTGACCTCTGCTTACCTGTAAAATGTATTTTTCTATGCAGCCAGTAATCGGTTCCGCCAATGTACCTCATGCTATACAGGGAGCCTTAACTCAACTCTCTATAACATGTTTGAACTCTGGCTGACCTTTTGTGTGTCTAAAAACCAGCCCCATCCAACAACCAGCACATGGAATAAGACACTACTATACCTGTACATATATACGGGACTGTAGATATGTAGTGACTATAAACCCTCTTTTGCCCATGCTACCCATTTCCCATAGCCATGGACAGCCTTAGAAATGTCAAACAGGGAAATGGTATAATTGGAATGAGTAATTCAAGAGTTTAAACAAATCTTCAGGGTTTTATAGTTACCTGGATTTCTTCTGGACAAGATAATGTATGAAATAGTTATTTTCAACTCTCCTGTGTCAGCCTTCTCTACCAACATTAGAGGATGGGAGTTTGAATGTGCAGCAGCTAAGACTCAAACTTTGCATCTTCAAGATATACTTTGCAAACTTTGAAAACCAACATGTGTAAGAAAACTGGCACATGTCTGTAGAGACTTATTGATTTAGACTGATGGAATCTCAGTTTGCACGAACATTACTGTATACTTATATAGATTTTACATAGCATGCATTATGTATTCTCAGGGAACAATGAAAGGTGATTGGCTTATCTTGAACTTGGTATCAGGGGCAGGAGCAAGATTTTAAAAAAAGGGGGTTTGTAACTTTGCCATTTACCCAAATGCTTATTATCTTTGTACACACTCTACAAATATTGTATATCTAAAGTAATTTGTATGTGAATGTGTTGCTATCGAAAGGCCTATAAAAGAAAACAGAATCATCTTACGATGGATGTACAATGGTTACTCTTTCAGACTTAATAACAAATCATCTGAGGTGCAAAGTACAGCAAAAATGGCAAGCAATCAGAGTATAGGTAATTAAAGTCAAATCACTCAGTTATGAGCAGCCGGCATTTGTAAATGGTTTAAACAATTAATTATTTTATTTAGGACTGTTCATATTTAAATCCTTTCCTTACTAGCACTAAAACAGCAACATTGCCTGCTTACCAGGGTCACTTAAGTAACACTGTTGGCTTTCAATCACTTGAGCAACTGTGAACCCTTACTCAAACTACCCCATGGACATATTGCTAAAAGTGGTAAGTGATCCATCAGCCACTAATCACATCATAAGATGTTGAATGTATCTGATCAGAACCACTGGGACACTTTGAACCCTAAAGTGTTCAGGACTGATCATATCTGGGTTCACTTTCCTTGTCTCAGAGGTGAAGTGAGCAAAGGAAGATATGGACTTTCACCTGCAATGTATGGTAAAGACATTATGGGTTTGTTCATACTCTTGATGTGTCATTTAATAGTCCTATGCTAACCACTCAGGTGTGTTGGGGAAAAGGGGGAGCGAGTGGGTAGAGGTAAAGGTCACTCCACAGGAGTCTTTAAATGATGTTCATTTATGAAGCTCCACGGAAAGCTCATGGAACCTATCCCCATAAAACAGTAATAAGAAAAGGCATATCTGCAGAGGTTTGGCAAACTCAGACACTGGCAGCATTTATTGGACTCATAAAGAATACTTTGGTAAGCATGTGAATCTTTGACAAATGTGAGTCGAAGGTAGACTCGGTCGAAAAAGTGGTAGAGATCTTAGAGAAAAACTGGAAAATGTTTAACTGGCGGTTCATAACAGCGGGTGTTATAAAGTCAATCCTGTAACAATTTTGGCTTAATAAATATGGAGAATGTTAAATATAACAGTATTTCCTAGCAAAGAATTTCTAAAATCCAAATGCTAGCACATGTTGGTGAATCGTTCTAGAAAGGGATGAACGTTGCAGCAAACAACGACAACAAATTTGGGGTATTAGGTGAATAATTTCTTGGTGAATGTACAGTGAACAAAGGGTGAATCCTCAGCAAATCTTTCCTAATGAGTAAACAAACAGAACAAAGCACATGTGCATACAAACCCATGAACACATCCATCATAAAGTACATGCTTGAGACCCACAGACGTACACACAGGGCAACAGGTACCATAATTATACCTCGATGAGAGAGAAAGATATGATAGATGGGAGCGGTAGAGAGAGAGATGGAGAGAAGGGGGGAGGGGGGGAGAGAGACGTGCCTATTCCCCATCCCAGGATAGCCCACACAGCATATCGTCAGGCCTCAGCAGTCAGGGAAAGGTGGGGGTGTTCAAAGCCTATGCAAATATCTATTTTTCCTTTTAGAAGAAAGTCATTCTTTAAAATGTAAATTCTGCAAGGTCCAGAGGTGTAGGCAAGAAGATTATGCCAGGCAGCCAAGGTGCCTGTTACTCTCAGCGGTGTTCATTTTTACTTCACTTTAGGTTTACTTTCCTGCTAAACCATTAAAACAGAAAAGTCTTTGCCAAAAATGTACAGTTTTGCATACTGTCATTTACACTTTTGCAAGCGCGGAATTTTAAGTCAAGATGCATGTGTTATTTATTATTTCTCCATAATTTCATCTTTTACAATCAGTGGGAATTTTGTATGTCATATCGTATGTCGTTTTTTGTATACATAAAAAATATAGATTTGAAAATTACTTTGTAAAACTATAGTGGGAAATAGAAACCTTTCTGTAGGATCTGTTAAAAAAAAAAAATCCATGGTTTTGGGAGATGTATCTTTGAAGTTTGGAAGTTTGTACTGTGTGTGTTTATTGGTACATGTGAAAACTAGCTTTGCTATGGCAATAAAAGTTTTCAGTTTGGTCCGGATACTTGTACAACTAGAAATAGATGGTAACTGCACAATTTATAACCAGCCTTTGTAGCAAGGTGCACATGGGAAGGCTTACAATACAAAACACAAAAAAAAATCCCCAGCACACTTGCCAACTAGCTTGCAGCATATATGGCCAGTATAGTTAAAATGGTGCTTTGCGCTGTTAAAGGGACCCTGTCACCAACATAAAAACAGAACAAATCAAATAAGTATTTAAAATGTTTACTTGTAGCGTTTCTCCTTTTTATAAAGGATTTGGCAGAAAATTTGACCTTTGTTAGGAAGAATCAATTCCGTAGCACAGCCCGCTCCCCCGCCCTTGTGCGTCATAAGCATCTTCTTTTTAGGTAGTGTCTAATTACTTTCTGTGCTGGCCTAGCTTCTCTGCAGCTCAGCTCGGCAGCTCCAAGCAACAGTCTCAGGCCTTTTGGATATCTATACAAGTGAGGCTTTAACTGGTAAATAACATTCCCAGTGGCGGAACTATTGCCATAGCGACCAAGGCTGCTGCTATGGGGCCCAGAGCACCGGGGGGCCTGGCCAAGACCAAAAACAAAGGGGCCCCCCTGATGCCGTGGGTCACTATGGCATTGCAGGCTCCAGGACTGTCACAACCGGTCAGTGATCTGTGCAGTGGCGCGTTCCTCCTCACAGGGCTCCATAGCAAGGTGGGTCTTTTTCTTGTTTGTTTTGCTACGTGGCTCTGTGATTCCTAGTAACGCCGCTGCACATGCTTATAATATGTTAACAGCAAGTATAATCTTATGGGGAGTTTGTTGAAATAGTATTCTTAACTTCTTCAACTGGAAATATCGAGGGTTTCAGATGTTTTTTTTTTCTTTCCCGACTTATCACTAGGAAGCTGACGATCATCGTGTTAAGCTTTTGATTAATCAGTGCATGCAACAGGTTTTTAGTAACTATCCTCCATGCCGCCAATGGCAGTAACATCACCAGCTAGGTGTAAATCTTAAGAATGGCTAATGAGGGACAAGATGTGGCAGAACACCCCTCACGAAGTGACGAGTGTGCGATAAAACAAGCATCTCAGATTTGACAGTAATTACTCTGTAAACAGCCCTGTGCTTGCGAAATTCCAGTTTTCAAGTTTAAAGTGTTATACCACCTCCGAGTTAAGCTCACTAATCTGATTGTGAAATCTATTTGAGTGAAACCAACAAGCTATTCAATGGTTGATTAGGTGGGTGCTCATATTACATCGTACTGGTAAATCTAAAGTTGATTGTACAGAGATTTTAAGGGCAGGTTGTATTGTATATGATGATCAACGAGACAACTGTACAAACCTCACTGATGTAACTGTTTACAGCTTTTGTTTTAGATCATTTTGCGGATAATTCAAGTATTGATAAAAGATGAATAAAGATGTTATCACACAAAATATTGTTCTGTTGCTATTTAAACTGGAAATAAAGCCAAAAAATTTATTTTAGTTTTGGATAGGGTAAGGAAAGCTTATAACTAGAGGTGCACCGAAATGAAAATGTCAAAACCGGAACAAAACCAAAATGAAAAAAAAAATGTCAGGCCGAAACCAAAATTTTTTTTATTCTAACGCTTTAAACAATACAATATAGTTTTTTTACAATATTTTATTTTAAATGTTTTAATATGTTTTTTTTATTAAATTTAATTTTTGACTTTACTTTTAGGGGCTTCGGGGAAATATTAGGGGTCAAAACAGACCCCTGATATTTCCCTTTTAAAATAGAAAAAGAAATTGAAAACACAGTGTCCTCAATCTCCTATTCTGCAGCCCCTATTATAAATGAACAGGAATCCTCTATACTGGGTGTTCCTGTTCATTGATAACATGAGGACAGAGTATGTTTACTATAACCATAATCATGAATGAACAGGAGGGGATGTAGATCACTTCCCATTCATTCATAATTGAGGACACAGTGAACACACTTTGTCCTCAATTATGTACAAACACTCAGCTATCACTGACTGCTTGTACCTGCTCTCCTTCCTGACACGCTGTCACAGGAGGCTGAGCGGTGCGGAAGGAGAGACACCGACCTCTCTCCTCCTGCAGCGCTCGGCCTCCTGTGACAGTTGCTCTCATCCGCACTGGGACACAG